ACCAGAAGACGCGACCGCTGAAATTCAATATCTGCAACTGATACTCAGAGCGAACCAAATGCGACAGGAGATAAAATTAAATTGGCACTAAATTTTAGTGAGCGCATCCGAGCGTCTCAGCTTTCCTTGGTCCTTTCGGTAAGGACGGCTTATATGGCTGCCTAAAGAGGACATGGGGAAAGAACTCACGCAAGAAACATGTGGCGTTGTCGAGGAGACTGGGTTTAGGGGTTGGGTTTAACGTTCAGATGAGGGAGGGATGAGCTTTTAATTCACGTTAACTGTGGGTTTAGGATAGAGCGAATTATAAGATTAAGATTACGGTTTAGTTTTATGTAGAGATAAATGACACGAAAATATGTAACGTTCCTGAAATATATCGCAAAGGCATCCATTTTATGTTTGCGGGACATTTCTATTTCCATAGCTTGCAGACACAGTCGTAAAAGTGATTTGTACTCTCCCCTCTTCACACCACTCGGAATTGAATTTTTTAACAAACCGAAGGAAACCATGGAGCACCGGGCCGGGAATAGCAGAATACCAACTTTATGTGTTCGAAACACCTGATACAAGTGAAACCGGGTCTGCTGAAGTTGTGGACGAAGCAATTGTCTTATATAAACTGAAAGACCATTCGGGAAACGAATGGCCGAGCACGCAGCGGCAGCAGGCGGGATAAAAGTGGATTCAAACCACATACAATGGCATCCAGTCATACATAGTTAAGAGCGATGAAACTGCTCTGCTCATTTGAGGTGACAACTGTATTTTGCGGGCACAATTAGACTCATTGTATCTTGTTCCTCAGTTAATTAGCAAGCGCGATGAACTCCCTGCTCCGTATTTGGTACCAAAATTTTGCCTAGTGAAAACATTTAGCTACGCGGACACCCACCGTTCCTGATGTTAATGTCCCCGACAGCGACCGCCCCATAGCCCACACATGTAATGACATTCCAACAATGAGGAACTAAACATAGGGCAGTCGTTACATCATCATGCACAACCGCCCGCGAAGAACGCGGGACGGATAATCTTGGCAGGCGTGCAGTCACATAGCAAAGGCACACTGCATAGCCTTGTCAAAAAGATACTTATTTCAGCAATTGCAACTGTTCGCGATAGGTTCGGGAGCTACCAATTTTGACAGGCCTACAGCAGTAAAGTAAAATCACCCTATAAATACAGCAACACGTGAACAACATACCATGGCTTTGTCCTCCATGATGGATATAGATAACAATCGGAACCCTTGGGCTTATAAATTTCTCATTCCGATAATAGCATCTGCTTTAGTGCACAGTTTCAGGGCTGTATGCAACTGAATGTGACATCGTGCAAAACCGTGAAAACGAAAACTTTAATTGCATAAAAGCATAACATATGCATGCCTTATCGGGGTTTCAGCTTATCTGCAAATATTAAATTTCATCTATCACACGAGCGATTGCAGTAAATTAAATTGTAGATGAAACCACAGTCGTTGCCAAATATTAATCATCGAAACTTAGATTATCAATGAAATCAGTTGTTTTCCAACAATATGCAGTATACAGATTCCCTACGTGTGCAAGAAAGTGAAAGTATTTAACCATTAATTACATATAAGGCAAAAAAGTCATCGAAACAAGTATTATAAATTCAGACTGCACCCTTGATCTAATGCTATCACACAATTAACGGCAACCTTTTAAAAAAATTATGTCAAAATGCATTTGAGAAAAACGAAATTACATTTTGTTTTTGAGGGAGTACGTTATATTAAAACACTTACCTGGCAGGGTGGTTTTGCTGCTTTCTTTGATGGACAAATTTTGAAAACAAGTTTTCCTTCGGTGGCTAACTAAAAACAACAATTTTATTAATTTTAACTCGAACAAAATAGTATATTCTAAGAAAGATATAATAGAAATAAAAACGGGGAAACCGAAAAGTAACACTGCTGTATGAAACTTAATGTAATAAGCATACAAATTCCATTCGTTGTTAATTTAATTGGTTAAGATTTAGAATTTAGACGACATATATGTAATTTAATATCACATTAGTTCGCAAAACCGCACAAATATGGAATTGCGAGGAATACTTAATTCCTTTTCTTGCTCGGTTTTACCTATAGTTGCTTGACAAACTTTTTAATCACTGTATGCTTTGCTGTCGCATGCGCTAAATATTTAACTGTAACTCCCTTTAAAACTCCTTTGAGCTGTGTTTTCCATTGAACACAATATTCTCGAAATAATTTGCAGTACTTATTCGGAAACAGATCCCGGAACGATTTGTAAAATAATCATCTAAACCACGTCATTTCCAGAATGTGAAATCTTTGGTCCATAAAAATATGCGGATACACTCATTATCACCATTAAATGTTAAATAACTGCTGGATAATCTCTTAACGTTTTCAGAAATATTAAAACGATGAAGTTGCTGGAAATAGGGACGGGAGTCACAAGTTGTTTTAATATAAATATACAGAAAATCTCGGTCATTTATTAGATGGAAAACAAAATGTAAGGTATAAAAATTATAAAAATAAACTGCTAACTTGAACAAATATGTACCAAATAGCGCTGGATGTTTTCAGTGGATACGCCCTCCAGAGAATGTCCATTGATCTCCAGAATCTCATCGTGTACATGAAAAGCATCTGCATGGGAAAATGAAGTCGAGGTGATTACTGATCTTGTAAGGACCACACTTTCCGACTTCTTCCTCAAAACTAACAAACTGAATAACTGATTGAACAAGATGGCCCATTAATATAAGGGCAGTAAAAACAATACCTATCCCACCCTCATAAAAGTAACGATCGCCGTAGATTGACCACTTCAGTTAAATTTTCTGAAAACAGCAGGTCAAAGATCTATCCCGTGCTAACCGAAGTAAGCTT